CACACACACACACACACACACACACACAGTCTTTCTGCCTCACTCAGCAGATGGACGTTCAGTGCTCAGATCTGCCTCAGTATCACTCGGAGCCTAAAACGACATCAGACGTTGGTTTTCTATGATGACAAATTGTCCTTGGGTCTCTTGAATGTTGGGTATGAATTCAAGTTACTGTTATTATTATTACAGACGGACAATATGTCAATCTAAATCATAATATGACCACTTCCTGTCCACTATGTGATAAATCCCTGATCTCCAACAAGAAGTCTGGAAAAAGCTTGATTATGAAGGAAACTGTTACAAAACTCAGAGACAACTGATATTTAGAGAGTAAAATGCGTTGCCTGCTAAGATCTGGTGACGTTTTGCAGCTTCCTCCCCCCGATAGACCCTTTTGGGGAATTCACCCAACACCCACCTTTCCAGGAATCTCTAACTCTGAAAGCTTCACATGCAAAACCATCTCGGCCACTGCTTCCTCCTGTACCACCCGTCTGAGGCCAAGCTATTATTTACTTTAACTTCGTTTAATGCACCAATCACTGATTAACTTCAGACATGTTTTAAATAAAGCATTCCTGTGGCTGTTTGGCTCTCATGGTCGCTTGTGTGTGAAGAAACTGTGCCCTAATTATATTTTCATTATCGAGTTGACTGTTTAGTTTGTTGCATCAAATATTATACCAGCAAATTAAATTTACAGAACATTTTTAAGAAAGTTCGTCATTTGTGTTGGATAAAGTATTTAAATGAGAAATCAAAATAGTTTCTAATTCTCCGTTGATAAACAACATTCTGACAAATAACGTCTCGAGTCACAATAAGTCGCAAAGTGCTTAACTTTGTGTTTGAGTCCCAAACGGATAATTGATTTCCTTTCAATCCTTGAAGAGTTATGATGGTAAAAACAAAGCAGGTTAGCATCTGTTTTAACTGTAGCAAGCCAGCTAGTTAAGCTAAAATTAGCTCCACTGCTTAACTGAAAACAGAATAACCACATCCACATTCAGCCTCATCCTTCATTGCCGCTGACTGTGACGGGAACTCGCTGATTCAGAAGTACACTGTGTGAAAACTGATGAATCCTGGAGAGAATAAAATAAGTCAGAGGTTCCGGAGAAAGGAGACGTTTCAACATGAAATGTCTCCATTTGCTGAAATATACGACCGTGAGCACTACATCACCCTGAAGCCTCCACTTCCTCTAAAGGGCTTTATAAATATTACAAACTGTAGAGTGACACAGTATTGGCAGAGCTAACAGAGACACCTCGGCCCTCCGCCTCCGCAGTAAGAAATGAAACACAACTGTCCCTGAAAAGCCCGGAGAGGGCGTTTTAAAAGGCCGATCTCACAGACATCTGACTGAATAATGTGACGTCGTGTTGAGGGGATCACTCCTCCATCTCACCTGAGCAGCGCACTCACTGCTTTCTTTCTTTCTCTGTTTGTTGTTATTATCAGATTTGACTGCCACCATTCATCTCCCTGCAAATAAAGCTCACCTTGAGCAAACAGTCTTGAAGAAAGCACTCGCACTTGATTTGCAACGTAATAAACCACAGACGTAAAACAACTCTGCAGCTTTTTACGTTATAATCCCACAAACATGGTAGCAGTTGCCTATAAACAAACGTAAAACGTAATTTCCTCTGCTGCAGTAGCTTTACTTGTTCCTGTCGAACCAGCCGGCAAACGTATGATGCTAATATTAGCCATTAGCCATATTAGTTCACAGACTTTATGACTCTTCTATAATATAAGTCACACTGTGTATTTATTATTACCTCATGTTGCTGATCAGTGAAGACAGTCACCAAAAGCGTTAGCAGGTTGGGTACTGGTGCTAAAACAAGAGGTGTTACACGATCCACACATTCACGGCAGCACCTTTCTGAACTTTACAAAATGTTTAACAGAGGCAGACTAAGAGAATCATGTTGTTAAAGATGTGCTGCTTGTGTTTAAAGCTCAATTTAAGTCAATCAAATCCTCAAAGCACGATTTAAAATCAGAGAGTGGGATGTTTTACTCAACCGATATCGGCCTCAACATCATTCTCCAAAGATCCATATCCTTCAGGCTCCAGCTGGAAGTGTTGCTAGTGTTTCACTGAAGACCACATGGAGACCACATGACTGTACCAAAGCACGGAACTGCTGACACGTCAACATCAGACTCTAACCTTCAAGCAAACCGGCTGCGACGGTGACAGACGGGAGAGGACTGGTTCTCCTTTCATCTCGTGTTCACAGGTCTATCTGAGTGAAAGCACAGTCGGGTCGGGGGGGTAGTCACGTCTGTCAAGTGCCACAGACACGAGAGGGTGAGAGGGACCTCTGTGTTGATCTGTGCTCGGTCGACACGATGTCATGACGGAGCAGGGTGTTGTGATTCCACACAAAAACACCGATACTGTCCAACATCTGCCTGATGACCGCTATGTCGTACCTTTACTGTGTTTTTTGTGTTCTTACATGTTCTGGTTTTGCGTACTACTCCTGTTGTCATTGCTAACAGCTGTTGTGCAGCCAGATTCTGTATCTTACAATGAGACAACAGTTTCCATGAACAGGAGACAAACTATTGTTTGAGAAATTCCTGTTTACATCACATGCCCAGTGTACGTGAGGGCACCGGCCATGCCGCCAATTAGTGGCTGCACGGTGTGTCAATCTGGTTTATCTGCATTTCAACCATAGTTGGTTAAGTATCAGGAGATCAGATGATCATACACTTACATAAAACTGAGCTTTGTCAACAAAGACTCATCAGACTGGGATAAATCACTCACTGATAATCAGGAGGTTTGATCTTTCCACTGACAAAGAGAAATATTTAAAGGTCCAGTGTGTAAGATTTAGGTGAAAGGGAATTTAATGTAGAATAATCCTCATGATGTTTTCACTAGTTCATTTAATCTAAAGGCCCTTTATATTTAAATACTTTATATTTAAATACTTTATATTTACATGGAGGGGACCCTCTCTACTGAGGCTGCCATGTTTTTTTTACATTCGTCCAGACTGGACCAACTAAACACCTTTTGAGTTTTTATGAAAACTGAAGCTACCACAGGTTCTTTCTCATGTTTAGAAGGGGAGGGTGAGGTGAGGGGTGTTCAGCTGCAACAAGAAACTTCAACGCTAGATTTCAAACCTGCAGCACGTTCGGGTCGTTTCTCTACGCGATGTTTTATAAAGGAATGTTCGGAAGTGTTGGGGATTAACAAAACTAATTTAAAGTAAAGCAGCAGAATCCAAATGTGCATTGTTTATCACTTATTGATCACAAAGAGGAGTCGTCTAAAGGTGGAAATGTTTAGGCTGCGTCCAAACTTGACGCCCGTCCACGTCAGTGGTGCAGTTGTCGGGCTCCTGTGCAAAAAACATGTTATTCTAAAAATACCCTGGAGTTTACAGATCATGAAACTGTTAGATTATCCCAGAGAACTGGGACAGGACATTAATCCCACCCGGCTCTACGTCACGCCTGGACCACTGGGAAAACCAGATTATTGAGAAGCCACAACAAAACAAACAGCCTGGAGTGGGAGGTGGGGATGGGGGGGGGGGAAGCCTGCAGCCTCAGTGGGATGTGTTGTGGTCAGAGTTTAGTTTGGTATTTCTGTGGGAGGAGGGAGGGTGTGTCTGCAGGGCCCTGGTGCAGCACCACAGATTTGACAGCTGTGTTTATGTCTGGGAACAAACTGGGAAGCGAACTACACAACACAGAGAGGGACAGAGGAGGTGGATGAAGGCAGATGAGGCTCGTGCAACCACATCTGTAGGTTGACATCACAACACACACACAACACACACACAGACACACACATGACGTGCACAGGAAGATGAACTCACTGGTTTTTCACCCATCTGCTCTGGTTGAACACCTCATCCAGTTGAACCACAGCCTGGCCGAGGAACACGTCCAGCCCGATCAGCGCCCGGTGCATGACGGTGAGGACCAGCTCGCTGCCCCCGGCCGGGTACCCGCTCCGCCCGCCGCCCTGCAGCACGCCGGGCTGCAGCTCGAAGGAGCACTCCTCCCTCCACTCCGGCTCGGTGGTCTTCTCCACCACGCCGGTCGAGTACTTCTCCTTCCCCAGCTGGATGATGGCGTACACGTCGCTGGTGCCGTGCTTGCCCTTGCCCCGTAAGCCCCTGCCTCTGAGCACCGTCACCTGGACGTGCGTCGGTACCCATATCTGCTCCTCCTCCACGGTTAGCGAGGACATGTCTGCAGCCGCCGCCGCCGCCTCCAGACACACCGACCGAGCTGCCGCGCTCCCCGAGGCCACCGGGAGGGGAGGTGGTGCCGCTTCCTCCGGTTTGTGCGCTGTCACGTCAGCTCCGGGCTCGGCGGGCGCTGCCGCATTATGGCTGTCTGCTGTGTCGGTTGTCTGCGGGAGAAGGTGCCGCGGTCGCCGGCTGGTTCGGTGCCCTTGTTGCTCTGCTCTGCGGCAGCGGCAGCGTCCGTCCCCGCACGGCGCGTCTCTGGCTGCCTCTCTCCCCCCTCCCGCCCCGCCGCCGCACGGGCCTCTCTGCGGGCAGCGACGTCACGCCTCTACCCTCCTTCTCCTGCAGGAAGTTCAGCACGCGGCTCCGTGCACGCCTCCGCTGGAATGTGGCGTGAAGAGAAGCGTTCGACGGGTCAAACACCCACGACCGTCAGCAGCCTCAGAGTCAAACCAGCGTTCGACGACAAAGACACAGGGTTTGATTAAAAGTGGAGACAATGAGGGGGAATAATCCTTCAATCAAACTTTATTCAAGTTGCACCTTTCAAACAAAATCCAGTTCAAAGTAGTTAAAAAGGTTAAAGCAAGTTTACCTTGTTTTTTATTTTTAAAAAAAAAAGACAATGAATAATAAGAATAATCAAATTACAGAACAGCACCAAAGATAGAAAGGACTGAAGACCCAGTGTTAACGATGAGTTATTTTATTGGCACAAACAAACATGTTGGTCCAAACTGTGTGAAAAGCATTCAAATACAAAACAAATTCAGATATCCAAAGGTAACGTTTCCTCAATGGTTGTTACTGGATATAAAAAGCTGGATGTTGGTAACAACATCCTGATGGTTCACGACCAGCACCTTGAAGCACCTTGGTTCTGTCACCCAGCCCACGTACACAGGCCCGGACTTCCCCCCACAGATCACTCAGATATTCGGGTTATATTTGTCGATTGGGCAACGTGAGAACCAGAAGTGCTGCATCACTGCCTGAAGTGGCCAACATCCGTATCTGTGAAAACATCGGGTACAACTGTAAAAAGTGCGTCAGCTTTTACTATGACCTCACATCAACACAGTTGTCCATCACAGTTGTCTGTGTGGAGTTTGCTTGCTCTTCCCATGTCTGCGTAGGTTTTCTCGTGTCCAAGGACATGCAGATTAGGTTGATTGGTAAATTGACTGTGAGTGGTTGTGTTAAACCTGCGACACACTAGTGACCTGTCCACTCAGACCCTCAAAGGATTCATGGTACAGATAATTGAAAGGATATGTGGACGGCAGGTTGGCACATAAAGAAGAATCTGTGACACTTATTAAGAAAAATCACTGGCACAGTTTCATTCGTCAGCACCGTGGGCAGGACTTTCCCGATCGAGAGCCTCAAAGGTCACGAGGCCGACCACAGGTGTGACTGATAAACATCCTGTTGACGCCTTCACGCGGTGGTTTCACCATTAAGCGTCTGTTCGTTGTTTCCAGACTGTGACACTGAAATATCCCGACCGCAGATTATCACAACTCGTTTGTGAGAATCAACTTTTCCACATTCTCGCAAAGAACCAGATGAAAATGAAGCGTTCCGCCTCATGTCTGCTGCCTGTGTCCGTTCAGGTTCTCACGTCATAAGTGTTTTATATTCTGGTTCCCTCACCACTCAGATCTGGCGTTTCTCTCTCCAGCTGTCACTGTGAAGAAGACAGAATCTATTCCCAGTTGATGTCTCTGCCTCAGTTTCTCTGAACTCACTTGACCTGCTGCTGAGAGCGGCCTCATGTGACCTGGGGAGCGTGTGAGGTCATATCTGCCTGAGGGCGACTGATAGGGGGGGGGGGGACTCGTTAATATCTGCGGCCTCGGTGCTGTGTGAGAATCAATGTGAGAGAATCAATAAATGGTGAAGAATTTGTCACGACTTGATCTGAGGAACGTCTTCGCTGTGAATCTAGTGACACAATGTAATTAAATAAAAAATAAAAGGATAATTAATTTAAATTCCTCGTCTGATCGACAGCAAGTAAGGGCACCCTATTTTTATTTATCCTTTATTTAACCAAGAAGGACATTTCTATACAAACCACTACAGAGAAAGTGTTTTTAATGTCCACACTCAGCATTTTAAGCATATTTTTATTCTATTGCCTTTTCTTTTATATTTATATCCTCCTGTCGACCTCACTCTGACCTGCCTGCTGCTGCAACAACTGAATGTGTGGATCGATAAAGTTTTATCTTATATTAAAACACAACGACAGAGAAAAGAAAACAAAATATGAGTAAATGGCAAAAATCAAAGCTAAAATAAAATTCATTTGTAAAAATAAAGATTAAAATGTTTTATTTCTCGAACCATAGTTGACTGCATGATAGGAAGATAGCCTAGCCTAGCTTAGCATAAAGACTGAAAACAAGGGGAAACAGCTAGCCTGGTCTGTCAGACGCAGTGAATAAAACACTAATAACTTATAACACACATTCAGAAGCTTCATATAGGACGCAGTGGATTCAAGCAGGTGTAGAAGATGCGTCTGAAACTCAAAGACTCATCAGAGTTTGTTAAACGGTCTGAAGCTGATTGGAAACAGTCCGTTTCTTCCGCCCACATATGAAATATTTCTTCACGAGCCAATTCGTGCTACTGAGCAGAACCTCGCTCTTTCTCGGAGGGTAATTCTTTGTGGGTATTTTGACACAAGCACTTGAGATTTTCCACTCAGGTAAAGACCGACTAAACAGACGGGCTCTGAAGTGGCAAACGTGGAGAGGGGAGGCATCGGGGGCCACTTAACAGATTTCTGTGTCCGTGACATTTGAAGCGAGATAATAGAACTGTGTGTGAAAACAGCGGCCATCTTCTCTGGCTAGAATATTCTTCTTTTTTAAAACCCGTTTAAGCTCCATCCTGGTTAACTCTCACAAGTATTCACCATCTGAGAGCGATTGTTGAACCAGACCAGACAAAGCTTTTGAATTTTTCTCATCGTGCTATTAACATTCTGACCCCCGCACAGACAGGTTATCACGTCTTTTTTTTACGAAAATCAATTTGCCCATTGCGGTCACATTATTTCAGACACCAGGAATCCGTCCGTACTGTTTTAATAACAAGTCAACATTAGCGGCGGCGGTAATGAGGCCTGAGAATAAATGAGTTTTTGGAGCAGCGACGAATGCAGGTTTTTCTGAGTGAAAAAAGCGTTTGACCTTTTCCACTTGAGAGAAATTAAACGTGCAGAGTGGAAACGTGACGATAAACGCTCCAATGTGAGTTGTGTGGAATTTCTGTGAGTTGGATGAAGCAGCTGAAATATTTTTTAGCTTTGCCAAGTTTGAGTTTTGGCTGAAGAAAGAGGTGATTTTGGCAGAAGAAGAAGAAGAAGGTTTGCTTGGTAGAAGTCCAGATATCTGAAACTTGCATCAGGAATCATTATAAAGATAAATGTTTTTATGTTTTAACCCTGCTGGGACAGTTAGAGGGGTTTGACTAATGATTCATCACATTACATTAAATACTTCTGTGTCTGAAGTGTGCGACGGTCGTAACCTCAACACTTAAAAGCTTCTGACCTCAGACGGACCTCGGTTACACCATCGACCTCCTCGTGGGATCTGCGCAGATGAAAATGAGCAGCAATGACCAACACACACAAGACTAATGAAAACTGAGACTCAGCCAATAATTGCTATGTCAGCGCAAAGTGTTTTCAGTATCTGTATTATTTTTATATCAAAACAAAATAGAAACAGTTAATAAAGGAGTCGACTGTAGGATTTTTTCTATATTTTTTGATCGTTATAGTTTTTACATTGTGTTCAGTGTGTTGTGTGCCTGATACGTTACTGTTGTAAAAACTATACTGTTGTTTTACTCAAGTAGCAAAGTTAATTTGGTACTTTGTGTTACTTATACTTATATTTCCAAACGGCTGCCATCACTGCATGAAGAACTAATAAAATACTATCATAGGTCAAAGACTGCAACGATGTCAACAGTCCAATAATAATCCAATAAAATAAAATGTAAAAATACCCACATACTTTTCTTTCACTACTGAAGTACTTCTGGGGTGAACTTTGGTTTTACAGGAACCAGCTGAAGCCTACAGCGCCCCCTGCTGGGCATCACCCAGAGCAGCAGTCCTCCTCTGAAGAGACTCCTTCAGTATTTGTCCAGTGAAGCTGATTCACTAAACAATCGATGATTCGTTTCCTGTCGATCGATTTAATCGTCGTTTCTCTCGTCACAGCTGTCGATGAAACTTTCTCCTCTGGTGTCATTTTTTCTTCCACAGATCGAGGATAAACTTTCAGTCTCAGTTTTTAAACTAACAAGTTCTCTTGGCTTGAAAAACTCTGTCTCCAGCTGAAGATCATTGAGGATCCATTTTTACTCCACAAATTCAAGTCCCATATTATTTCCTAATGCAGCGCAGACCGAAATGAGGTTTTAACGCGCTCCGCATCTTCTAATCACACCGGACACAAAACCTCTTCGAGAGCCATAGAGGCGTCTAACAGGCTCTAAACGAGGGCCTGAAACGTTTAGCAGTATTTTTTGACAAACTAATCTGTCTAATTAAGACATTATCTCCGCCAATCAGGGAGACGACAGGGAGATTTCCACACAAAGCCCCGTGGAGGGATCAGCTCGGAGCTTAGGGCCTCATCAAAGAGAGATTCCTCGGATATTCCTCGTCTATTCTGGAGCTGTCAATCATCCCCTCATCAGGCCCGAGGTCTCATATCGGACCCCGAGGCCGACAGCTGTTACATAACCGCCGCTAATCCACATGTAAGATGGAGCGCTGTGATTGAACACACAAATAAACACACACGCACTATATGAGTAGATATGAGGGGCAGCAGCTGTCACACACACACACACACACACGCATACATACACACTCACATATGCACACACAGTTTGGTGGAGCCAAGAGAAACAGATAGACGATGCTGGAGATGGATTCAGTTCAAGCATCAGAGTGCAAATGGCCCACTTAGAGTTTAAACTGGGTAATTAGAAACCATAATCAGGGCTCACCTCCTCAGCCCAGATGAATGTAATGAAATGCTCGAGGACTGAAGTCGCACCGACGCACATTCACAGGCTCCGACGCAGCTGTCGGTCCACCTCACACCAACACATAGTCACAGACGTTTCCCCGACTTAGAAGAACCACTACACAACACGCACCGTGCTTAGGTTTGCTCAAATTAAAGTTTAGAAGTCGTGTCCGAACATTTGCTCACTTGGATTTGAAAACACTCGATTTATTTGTGTGATAAAAATGTTGGCAAGAGATTTTATTTTTTC